ATAAAAACGATTTTGAAATATGTTGCATAGATGAACTCTAAATATGTTATAATAGTTATAATTAAGTATGTAAACAAATAATTAACAAACAATTAGCTAATTAGTAACAAAGTTATGATAAATTAAGGGTTGGATGAACAAATAATTAGAAATTTTCTATCTTCATATTTTCAAGTATTAAAAAAAAAAAAAATTCATGGGACGGGTTCGGGGCGGGGCCGTGCCCCGCGACGGGGCGACCATCTATGCCCCGCTCCGCCCCGTGCCCCACAACGAGCGCGGGTTTTTTTGCCCCATTCGGGGCGGGGCAACACTGGGGTGGGGTAAATTGCCATCACTAAGTGAAATGTTTCAAAAATCACTGAACTTATGCATTGGTCACGGACTAATCATTGAACTATAAAATACTTTAAAATGCTCACTGAATTTGTTCCATTTGCACTCCATCCCCCACTCCCCAAAAGCTGTCGATTTTTTTGCTGATGTGGAGGACGGTAATCTCGCGTGGCCATAAACCTCGTGCCACATCAATGGTTCATCCTACTCACAATTAATAATTATCACAAAACCTAAAAAAAATAAAAATAAAAATAAAAACCAAAAATAGGACTTTTGAAAACTGAAACCGTGTTCTTCATGTGGACACAGTTTCCATTTTTCACAAATCACATTTAAAAAAAAAAATGAAAAATGAAAACATAAATACATAAAAACACACAATTGGAAGCCCAAATTCACGCCTTTGTTCTTCCCCAAATCATGAACTGGAAGCTCCTCCAAAACCCTAACCATTTGTTGACGAACCCTAACAGTCAATATTGGAGATCCTTCTCCACAATCGACCCCACCTGTTCAATATTTACACATTATGCACTTGGAGGGACCACTTGAAGGTAAACTGGAACAAATATTTTATATTTCATTTGTTGTTTTCGCACGTGATGTAGTTCTAAAGTTATCTTTTTGTGTTGGATTTATGTGATAGTTATCTGCTTTATGAATATAGGCTATAAGTATAATAATATTTTCATTTTTTTTCAGCCGCATGGACGCCCAAAATTCAATGGTTTAGGGAACGATGAAAATGCTTTAGATGGGGCTGAACATTCCTCGAACGAGGACCCAATCCTCACTGATTCTGGTAACGAGTTAGACTCCAGAGAAGATGATAATTTATATGAAAGCAATGTCATAGATGAGATTGGGGTTGGTTTGAACGTGGGTGAATTGAATGATGTGAATGAGCATGATGTTGAAGTTGATGCCGAGATTGTTGATTTAGAGTACCCTTCATCTGTGTCTGATTGTTCATCTGATGATGATGTTGGGTATCGATTTCCACAGTTTTGGACAGAGTCTGACATTAGTAATCCACAATTCGTTGTTGGTCAGTTCTTTAGGGATGTTGTAGAGTTTTGAAAGGCAGTAAGAACTTACGGAGCTTTGAATGGGTATAATGTCAGATTTAAAGCTAACGATGGGACACGAGTACAGGGAATTTGCAAACCTGGTTGTAATTGGAGGATATGGGCATCCATCATAGGTCGGACAGGAAGTCTCCAAGTTAAGTCGTACACTCCGAATCACACATGCAGCGGAGACCAATACAACAAACATTGCAATTATGTCTTTCTGACTAACCGTTATATTGAGCAATTTAAGGCAAACCTGAAATGGAAGACTAAGAGTATACTTGCGATAGTGAAGGATGATTTGAAGACTGATATTACTCGAAATGTGGCATGGAAAAATGAGATGGTATGCAAAGGAATTGTTGCATGGAACAATTGACGAGCAGTTTGGTTAGTTGTGGTGTTATGTTGCGGAGGTTTTAAGGACTAACCCAGGTTTTTACTGTCGTCATTGCCAACCACAATCAAGTTTTCCAAGGAATCTGTAACTATTTGGAAGCATGCAAGAAAGGTTTTGTCAATGGTTGTAGAAAAGTTATCGGAGTTGATGGCTGCCATTTGCATGGATGTTTTAGTAGAATGATGTTGACCGTTGTTGGTCATGATGCAAATGACTGCATATATCCCATCGCGTACGCCATAGTTCAAAAAGAGAACACCGTAGCTTGGAGGTGGTTCATAAGCATAGGTTTTGCGTACCCCACACGTACTCTAACCTTTTCAGCATCGGCTTCAAAGGAAAAACATTGTAGGACTATCTTTGGCATGCCGTAAAGTCTACTACTATTTCGAATTATACAGATTGCATATATCCCATTGCATACGCAGTAGTTCAAAAAGAGAACACCTTAGCTTGGAGGTGGTTCATGACACATCTCGAAAGTGACGTTCATATTGACAATGGAAGTGGTTGGACAATTATGATAGATCACCAAAAGGGGCATGTTGACATCCATGCAGTTAACATTTGTGAAGCAAATTTAGATGAGGCGAGATAAAATGAGTGGTTATGAAGGTCAAAGTTGTCTTAAGATCAAAAGAAGAGAGCACTCTATTGTTGAGAGATCAAGAGAGGGCATAGTACATTTTTCTAGTGGTCCTAAATGGAAAGTGGATTGTAGTTATCGTACATATGTGGTTGACCTTGAGGAAAGAAGTTGTGCTTGTAGACGTTGGGAGTTGACGGGAATACCGTGCATACATGCTATGACAATCCTTCTGCACTGTAGGAACGACCCTGAAGAATATGTAGACAATTGATACACTACTGAGTCTTATTTGAATTGCTATAGGAACATCTTAAGCCCTATTAATGGTCGAAGCATGTGAGCAGAGATCGAAGCGGAACCACCAAACTGGACAATTACAACTAAAGGACGAAGACAGACTAAAAGAAGGAAAAATGCAAAGGAAGTCGTGGTGCATATGCAAAGGAGATCGTATGTCAGAAAAAATGGACAAGTAATAATGACATGCTCCATCTGCGGTGTGTGTGGACATAACAAAAGGCATCATTCCATGCCACATGTTGTACTAGATGTATGTCATTTTATATTATGAGCAGCTTTGAAATGTATGATCTTTGACTGATGTTTTCCATTTATTGTTGTAGGACTTGTTTGATGCTCCCTTGACAGATGTTGAATCCCAACCAAACACGAAAGTACTTGCAAATGTAAGACAAATATGGTGATTATTATTATTTGTTTAAATTTTACATTAATTAATACTTCAATAAATTGTGTTTAAGCTTTACATTAACTGCTTGCATATTTGAATAGGGAAAATTGATTATTAGCAGATGAAATTGTCCATCGACAAGTCGATACTTGACGTTAATGATTCAAATATACTACCAACTGCTGGAAATGAAAGACGGACTGATAAACCAACAGAAACATTGGAGGGAATGGTTGATATGCTATAAGAAATACAAGCTGATGAGTCCTCACAATTATGAGCTGCTAGAGTTCACGCACGGCGACATGCAAACACAACTGTAGCTACATCTCGTAGATCATGGAATCGTGGACAACTTTGAATGAAAACAACTTTTTAGTTTAAACAACTTTTGTAGATTTTGGGCCAATGACTAGCCACTTATTTTATTTTTGCCAATGTGGATAACTCTGAAGAAGACAATTTTGTGGGTTGAAATTGAATGCTTAAGGAAATGTGTATACAGCTTGATGTTTTTGAATATTTTTGGAGATGATCTTTATGTCATGAAAATTATCCGAATATTACCTTATGGAAAGTTTCTTTATTTATATCATTTTGATGTCTTTCTTTATTTATATCATCGTAAGCAATTGAAGTTGACAGTGTTTCTTTATTTATATTGTTGTAAGCAATTCAATCTTCATTTAGTGCTAAGCATTTACCAAAAGAGTAACTCATCAAGTGCAACAAATGGAATTAACAACACATGCAAGTATGTTGTGCAATTACTGAAATTCAAAGCAAATAATCGAGGTTGAAATTCACTACATTATACCAAACTTTATACACCAAACTGCCTGCAATTCACTTCAACTCCATTCTCGTACATACTACGTTACACTAATACACACGATCAAAAAAATAAACTAATAAAAAGAAGTATAAGGACTGCCCAAAATGTAGCCTTGTACATCTTTAGAATTTTGCAATTTGTCCTATTCTCTTCTTCGAGTCTGCTCTTTGAACGTAGTAACCCATTTATTACAAGGTTGTATCCAACATCCGATGACTCGTCGACCCAATCAAAGAAATTGCAAGCTTCAGGCTTCCCATAGAAATGACATCCAATAAACCTCCATCCGGGGTTTGTTCCCGTCCATTAAGTCCTCACACATCCCAAGTGACCATAATAGCATAAGCTTTGTGCGCCTCTCTGTCCAGGTGCTTCGGACATTATCACCGCATTACCTTCGTTCGACTACAAATTGTTTGAAGTGCTAGCGTTCTACTACTGGGTTATGGGCTACAATCAGATGGGAGTAGAACAATGTGAATATTTTGGTATGATTTATGAGAAGATGAAGAAATGGGTAGGGTTTTTGAGGAGCTTCCACTTCACTGATTTGGAGAAGAACAAGGGCGTGAATTTGGGCTTCCAATTGTGTGTTTTTATTTTTTTAATTTAAAAAATGTGATTTGTGAAAAAAAGAAACCGTGTCCATATGACAAACACAGTTTCAGATTTCAAATGTCCTATTTTTGGTTTTTTTTATAGGTTTTGTAATAATTATTAATTGTGAGTAAGATGAATCATTGATGTGGCATGCCGTCTATAGCCACGTGAGATTACCATTCTCCATGTCAGCAAAAAAATTAACAAATTTTGGGGAGTGAGGGATAGAGTGCAAACAGGACAAGTTCAGTGAGCATTTTAAAGCATTTTATAGTTTAGTGATTAGTTCATGACCAATGCATAAGTTCAGTGATTTTTGAAACATTTGTCAATGTACCCATCTCATACCCACCGTATTCATACCCCTTTGTCAATGTACCCATCTCATTTCTTTTGATCTTGCTACTCCATACCCGTTCTCATTCTTCTTGAGGTAAATTCCATTCTTGGTAAGTGATAGTGACGGAATTAAGTTTCTTGAGTTAAAATTGCATATACACATTTAGTTAAGGTGTTATTGGTCAAACTCGACATATTTTCAGGATTTTCATTTTGGCCGATTGCTTTGGAAGTCACCGATTTTGAGTTCTGGCAGTTCTCTGCTTTGGGAGTGGTTCGAGTTTAGTTGCTATTGGGGTTCTTCTAGTTTAGGCTTCGGGTTTTGCTTGGATTGGGCTTCCCAGCTCAGTTTTTTGTCAGAATTAAGACAGTTTTTTGGTCTAGCCAGCTTCAGTTCAGATTCTAGTTTTGGGTGGTCTTGACGGTGCTTCTTGCTTGTGTCTGTTCTTTGTGTTGGCTTTGGTTCTTTTTGTGGGTGCACAGCTTGGGTACTTGTCGTGGCTGCTTGTTATCCTCTTCGTTTGAAGTTCACGTGTTCATATTTGCAGTCTGTAAGTATTTTGTATGTCTTTGTAGTGAATTCATTCAAATTTTAAATTTGAATTGTAAGCTGCCATTTTACGTGCTGGTGGTCATTTGGCTACCCACCTTTGACTAAGTTTGAAAACTTTATCTCCCACTTTGCTGACACGGTTGACCATATCAATTGGGTTTGTTTCATGTGGAAATTACAGAAATCCCTAAAGTTAAAATTTAGGGTTCAAAAATTAGATGAGTAATTTAACATTTCAAAAATCAGATTTTACATGTTTAAATATTAAATATTACTTATTCTCTCTCCAATCTCCTTCTCTCTCCTCCCACCCGTATGTGTTCTCTATCCAATCTCCTTCTCTCTCCAATATTTCTTCTCTCTCTTTCCACCCGTATTATCTCTCTCCACCCATCTTCTCTCTCTGGTAGCTTAAGAAAACGGTCCCAACTTCGGTGATATCTGCTAATTTGAGTGGCGAGGCTTATATTTTCATTTATTTTCATCATCGTGACGACGGTGGTGTCGAGTCTAGGGTTTATTGGTGGTGGTGTACTATGGTGGTGGTCGGGGCGATAGTAGTTGTCACGAGTGTTGATGGCAGTTTGCAGTGGTCGGCGGTGACGATGGTGATTGTGGCTGGTGGTTTGTGTGTGGGATGACATGGGTCGGGTGACGAGATCTTGTGGTCAATGTGGTGGTGGTTTATGTTGCAACAATGATGGGTGGCTGGTGGTACTGTGCTTGCTGTGATGGTGGTTACAGATTATTTGATTGATTGTGACTATTAAATTGGTTAATCTGTGACTAATAAACAATATGTGACTAATGAAAAAAATAAGTCGTGATTAACGTGACCTAAAAATTTATTAATTTGTGACCGTCTAATAAACTGTGACCTATAATATTTGTGTGTGATTGATCCATCAAATTGTGACGGATTACTTTTTGATTTGTAACCATTGAACAAATTGTGGCCTATAAATTTTTGAATTGTGATCGTAAAATAATTCGTGATGTTTAAAAATTATGATTTGTGATCGAAAAATAATATGTAACTAATTAAATTGTGAATCTGTGATCAAATTGTATAGATATGTGATCATAATATATTTAATTAATAAAATATATAATTAGTTAATTAAATCATACATAAATTTTATTAAACTCCTGTTTGGCCCCCATTCTTGTCAAATTTTAATGGTTGAAATAGTATTTTTTTGAAAAATATATAGTTGAAAAAGAATAAAAAGTTTTTTATTTAGGTATAATATTATTTTATAGAAGATTGTGTAGTTGAACATAAGAGAGAGAAAAATAATGAGAATGAGAATGGAGACCAAACGGGGTATAAATAAATTAAATCATAAATTTTAGGGATTTTGTTCACGGATGGAAACTACTTGCTTAATTTTAGGGATTAATTGCAACGAAATTCTCTCTCTCTCTCTCTCTCTCTCTCTCTCTCTCTCTCTCTCTCTCTCTCTCTCCCCCCCCTTCTCTCTCTCTCTCTCTCTCTCTCTCTCTCTCTCTCTCTCTCTCTCTCTCTCTCTCCCCCCGTGTCTCTCTCTCAGGTGGAAACTAATTTCTTGATTTTAGGGATTAATTGCAATGAAACCCCCTCTCTCTCTCTAGGATTCTCTAAGTTTTGAAATTACAAACTTATCGTCTTAAAATTGAAATATAGCATAGTTAATGTCTGGATTGTGAAAATTTCCCTTGTTTTATTTGCACGTAGGCCTCCCCTTGGGCTTGGTGTGTCACCAGATTTTATGGGCAAGAGAAAGTCTAATAAGACCCAACATAAGAGCCGACTTCTCCTTCAAAGGCTATTTCTTCAGACTAGCCCACTATTTCTATGGCTGCTGCAAGTGACACTATTTCTCCTACCCAGCCTATTATTTCTAAGGCAACTACGACTAAGGCTTCTAAGGCCTCTGTGAAAGAAACTGACATGGAGCTATCACCAAGTGAGTCTCAAACACTTGGTGATGAAGACACATATTCAAGTAGCTCATCTGGGGAGCCTCCGGCAATCAAAGATGATGTAATTAGCGGTGTAAATGCTGTGAATGGTTGTTCAAAAAAAAAAAATTGGTCCATGCGATCGCATGGCATATAGCCATGCGGTCGTAGGCCATATGTCGAGACCAAATGGTCTCGGCATGAATGAACCATGCGACCACATGGATTTGTACCATGCGTTCGCATGGTATAATATTTCGACCGTTTTTAGTAGTTTTTTGCCGTTGTAAATTTGAAATTGGTGACTTTTCACTTTATTTTTTGGCACCATTTCGTACTTCTAGTTGATGAATATATATAGGATAGCCATGTTTGAGGGAATAATGTTAGAAAAATATCTTGCAATCCATACTTTATTATAAGAACAATCAAATCCCGGTTTACATTCATATCTTCGTGTTCTTTAAGTTTTGGAAAATTTCTCTTGTGCTTTGGTGAAGTTCTTTACAAGGCTTGTTACAATCCTTCAAACCATTTGTCGGAATACCTTTAAGCATCTCAAAAACATCGGAGAAGGGGCAAATAATGTTTGAGGACAGCGATTCCGCGTTCGAGCTTTCGAATTTGTTCTTGGCAATTTTCTGATTTCATTTTATCTTGTTGCCATATTTCTTTTGTCTATTCTTCATCACTTCCATATTTCCAACAATCTCAAATGATATTTGTAATGGAAAACGAGACTATAATGGCAACCATCAAATTTATGAATCAAGACTTGGTGCGGTTGGATCGGTTCGATGGTAAAAACTTCACATGGTGGCAAGACAAGTTGAAATTTCTACCTACTGTATTGAAGATCTTCTATATTTTGGATCCAAAATTAGCGCCACTACTGGAACCTACAAACGGAGAGACCAAGGCAATCAAGGCCGAAAGATAGAAACGATAAGAAGATGAATTGATATGCCGCGGACACATACTAAATGTATTGTTAGACCATATCTACGACTTATACACAAACATAACTTCTGCAAAAGAAATCTGGGAGGCATTGGAGAGTAAGTACAAAGCAGAAGAGGAAGGTACCAAGAAATTTTTTATTTCTAAATACTTCGACTTTAAATTTCTTGATAATATTCCCTTTCTTCCCCAAGTACATGAATTGCAAGTTATTGTCAACAAACTAAAGGCGGTAAAGATTGAAATCCTAGAGACCTTTCAAGTGGGAGCCATAATTGATAAACTCCTAGGGGCTTGGAAAGGATACCGGAAGAAGATTATGCATAGCTCCGAAGATTATTCTTTGGAACAATTGTAAA